AAGAAATAGGTGAGAGAAGCAAAAAATAAGGAGGCCTTCAGCATTTGGTCTTGTTCTTGTATAAATACCAAAATATTTCCAGGAGCTGAAAAGCCCTGTGTGGTCTGGCTCCTGCTCTACCTCAGCTACACGGTCTACTCTGCTTACCTCACTTTCTAGGCTTCAGACAGCGTGGGCTTCCTTCAGTATTAACACAGGACCTTTGTCCATGTTATTCCCTCTGCCTGGAATGATTCCCCCTTCAATTAGCCTCTGGTTCATCCTTAAACATTGTTTCATTAAAGAAGCCTTCACTGACCTCCTGGACTACGTCAGGATCCCCTACTATACACTGTCATAGCAGCATCCCTTTCTATCACAGCACTCATCACAAGTGTAATTTTATACCTATTTCAGTGATTCTTGGATCAATGTCTACCTCCCTTGAGAGGGCTGGGATAGATTTGTTTTTTCTCGTGGTGTACCTTCAGTGCCTAACACAGAACCTACCATAGTAAGTGCTCCAAAAATGTTACTGAAAGGATGACAAACAGGGGGAGGCAGCCAGGTCTGGGGAAGGAGCATGAGCTTCAGAAGCCCCAGTCCTTGCCTGCTGCTTACACTCTGGCTGTGGAAATTTTAGGGGTGGGGTGTTCCCCTTGTCCTCTCTGGGCTTTCAGCTAGATTCTTTTCTTGGCCTCTTACCCAGGGCTGCAGCCAAGATCTCTGACGGTTCCCAGTACTATGTTCTGCTCATCATCACCGATGGGGTCATCTCTGACATGACACAGACCAAGGAGGCCATTGTCAGTGTGAGTCTGAGAAGGAGGGCTTGGCAGGGAGGGGTCACTGTTAATAACTGTGAAGGGATTGAAGTTTTACCCTACTTGCAAGCTAACAAGTTAGCCTTCCAGTTTCATGGATGCTGGCAGAAGACACAAGACTAGTGGACTTTGTTATTCCCAGCAATAGCAGTAGCTCAAGTATCAGCATTTTCTCTGATTCTCTAAGTCCCAATTCCCAGAAGATGATGTGAAGAGGGCCAGATTACACCTGCATCCACAGTCAGTTGCATTATAGGACAGCAACCTTGAACTTAGAGAACCCAAATCTTTTATAATGGGCAGGAAGCATGCCTGCCCTTTGTTCCAGTGTAAGACCTTTTATTATACTGGACAATAAACAAAACTGCCCTTTGTTCTAAAGGAAGTCACTGTATTTTTCAAGGCTGTTTGATATGCAGGCATCTCGAAAAAGATAGTCTAGAACAAAGGGAATCACTGCCTCTGCTTGCAGGATGTACAGAAATGTGACACTTGCACAGAGAATTGCCTTCTATAGCCACCTCCCTTATAATGGCTGCTCACCCCCGCCATTTACCCTCTTTCCCCCACAGGCCTCTTCACTGCCCATGTCTATCATTATTGTTGGTGTGGGACCAGCCATGTTTGAGGGTGAGTACAATGGGGGGTGTCCATGAATGAGACCAAGAACTGGGGAAAATAGAGCAGAATTTGGGCACCCAGGCCTGCCTTACAAAAATGATATATGGTTGCTTGTGTTGGACCTTGGCCAAGTCACAGACCTTTTCTGAACCTGTTTCCTCATGATAACCGAGGCTGTTGATATGAATACTTCCCTTCTGGGATTCTTGGCAGGATGGAATGTGTGGGAAGGCAAAATAACTCCATAACAATGCCTAATATTTGTAGGACTCTGATACAACCATTAGGCATTCTCATGATGACTCCAAAGGGGAGCTAAGAGGGAGGGGGGCAGCATGGGTTGATGTGGGAGAAGCCAACCAGCTGAGAGGTGTCTTTTCTGCAGCAATGGAAGAGTTGGATGGTGATGACGTGCGCGTGTCCTCTAGGGGACGCTACGCAGAGCGGGACATCGTTCAGGTAGACCTGACCAGGGAGAGGAAGTCATGGTGCTGAAAGGCATGGTGCGAAGGACAGGCTAAGCTGGCAGCCACCCTACCTTACTGCCTTCTTAATCACCTGCCTTTCTCCTCCTTACTCTTTCAGCCTTCCTGCATTTATTGAACAAAATCTTTATGAGAAACAGGCAGGTTGTTGCAGCCAGTGTGGATCCATAACGTAGGAGATCACCAAAGCCCCTGCCCTCTAGTGGAGGCAACCAATAATAATCACACAGCTAAATATCTCATTAGATTGTGCTAAGTGCTCCAGAGAACAGCAAATGCCACTATGAGAGCCTATAACAAAGAACTGCCTATAACAAAGGTAGGGTAGGCAGGGAAGGCTTCTATGAGGAAATGATATTTGAGCTGAAACCTAAAGGAGGATATAAGCATTACAGGCAGAGGAGCAGCATGTGAGAATGCCCTGGAGCTCAGAAGAATTGGCCCAATCATGGAAAAGGCAAGAGGCCAAGGTAGCAGGATCACAATAAGAGAAAAAGGAAGCCAAGACCTTGCCAGTCATGGTGAAGATTTTGGGGTTTTATTCTAAAAGAATTGGAAAGCTCTTGAAGAATTTTACATAGGAAAGTAAGATGGTGAGACATCCATTTTAAGAGGATCTCTGCTTCATGGAGGGTAGACTGAAGCAGGGTGAGAGAGAAGCCTTTGAAGTAGTAGAGGAGAGACAACAGGGATTTGGAATGGGAATGGAAGCAGTGAGGATTGAGAGAAAAATCAGGTTCAAAAGATTATATTTAAAAATTTTTACAAGAGCTGATGATTTGATTAAATGATGTTGGAGCATGAGGGGGGTTTCAAGGATGATTCTCAGTTTTCTAGCTTGAGCAACTAGGTAAGCGATAGTCCCATTTATTGGGAAGGAAAAAGCTGAAGGAGGAGTAGATCTGGCAGAAAGGGCTAGAATTCAGTTGTGAACACATTGGGTTTGAGGTATCTAAGATAACTGAATGGAGATGTGATACAGGCAACTAAGTATGTAGCCATGGACCTTAAAAAAGAGGTTAGAGATGGATATATAAAGTTGGGAGTTATAAGGGAATAGTTTTAAAAGTCAGGAAGTATATAAAATCACCCAGGAAGAAAACTGAGAGAGAGAAGTACCAGTTTAGAGATCAGGTATACCCAGAGCAATTGGGGAAGGGGGTGGGGATTGGGAATGAAAGCATCCAGAAAGGTAGGAGAAAATCCCACAGAGTGTGGTATGTCAACAGCAGGGATGTGTCCAGGAAGATTATGGCCAAACATAATGGAAAGCTAAGGACTGACAATTACTACCTACTGGATTGATTGGGGAACATGGGGCTGCTGACAACATTAGCAAAAATAGTTTCAGTAAACTCCATGAAGCCAAACTGGAGTGGGATGAGGGTGAATACAAAGTGGGAAAAAAAAAGTGGATGGGGAGAAAGCAAATGTAGAAAGCTGTCCAAGACAGAGGGAAAGTGTGATATTTGGAAAGAGATATTATGGGTCCTCTCTCCTGGTCACCACTCACACCTGATTATCTGTGTCTGTCCTAGTTTGTCCCTTTCCGAGACTATGTCGACCGATCGGGGAACCAGGTGCTGAGCATGGCCCGACTAGCCAAGGACGTGCTGGCAGAGATCCCAGAGCAGCTGCTGTCCTATATGCGCACCAGAGACATCCAGCCTCGTCCCCCACCCCCTGCCAACCCCAGCCCAACCTCAGCTCCAGAGCAGCCCTGAGGAGCCAACTTATCCAATGCCTAGCAGTCTGCCTACCTGCCCACCCACTGCTTCTATGAAAGCCAGAGGCACCTGAAGCCCTGGAACTCATTGGGAGGCCAGCTTGGAAGATCAGTGCTGGCTGGTCAAGTCTTCTGCCCCCTCGCCACAGAAGGGTCTGGCGCTGTCACCATTTCCCTGCCTTCATGCCAATAATAAAGCTCATCTTTACCTCTGTTGCACGAGTCTTGGGGAGGGAGGCTGGGGGACCCAGAGCCTGGCACCACACCAAGAGGAGGAGGGAGCAAGGATGGCTTCGGCTGGGTTCATCCCCATCCTAATACACAGCCATCCAATCATTTCTTTAGACATTTAAATACTTTCAGAAATGGTAAGTGAAACTGTGCATGCCTTTGTATGTTTTTTTTTTTCCTGAGGAGTGAGGCTGTAGCATTCATCAGGCCTTCAAAGGGGTTCTTGACCTCAAAATGGGTTGGCTGTAAAATGACTGTGTAACTCTGACCCATTTATTCCGAGTTTTTTGTATGAGGATAATAAAAAAAAAAGCTAATATGTTGAGTATTTACGTATCAAACACTATGCTATGCGATTTATAATCATCATCTTATTTAATCCTCACAACAATCCTGTGAAGTAGGCACTATATTTTATCTCCATTTTATACGTGAGGAAACTGAGGCTCAGACAGATTAAGTCATTTAATGAAGAGAACTCATCAGTTTGACTCCAGATCCCAAGATCTTAACTAGCAAACATCTTAAAACGTTGATTTTATTAAGATAGTTTTTGGAAGACATTGTATACAAAAACACGAACATTATAGTGGGTTGAATGCAAGGTATGCATTAAGATAAAAATAGAAGCTTCCAGACCCTTTGGTCTTTGTCCCACAACCATGGAAGACCCTTTCACGCTTTTCTTTGATGGCAAACTGAAGAAGTTCAGCAGCAAGCATTGCTTAACATGCGGACTCCCTCTAGCACCCAAGTTTCCCAAAGGCAATAAAGCTTCCGAGCTCTGCTTTATAAATAAAAAATTTGAGGTAGCGGGAATTTAACAACTTGCCCTAGTTCACAGCTACTTAGTGGCCCAGTCACATTAAAACCAGCTTTGTTTCGAGACCATTTTCCAATCGGCAACCCGTAGCCATGACGCATTTCTCCGCCAACCTACAGGGTTCCAGGCATCTGAATCCCATTTTACCGTACACAAGCCCTTTAACTCCCAATAGCCTTCTGCACCTCCCCAAATCCTGCCCCTTCCTTCGGATCCACACCTTCCCTCCAGTCCCGCTCCTTTACCTTCCCCAAGCTTCTTCCCTCTCCTTCAGCCACGCCCCGTTATCGCTAACCCGGTCCCGCCCTTTCTCTCCAGTCCCACCCCTTTACCTTTCCAAAGCCCCTCCCCTTCTCTTCAAGCCTCGCCTCGTCTTTCCCAGCTCTATCCTTTCAACCTAAGCCCCCAGGCCTATCCATAGCCCCGTCCTTTCTTTCCTGAGACTCGCTCTTCAGTTTAGCCCCACCCTTTGTCCCCATCCAGTCCCTAGTCTCTTTACCAGGACCCGCTTAACAGATGGCCCCGCCCACTCTCCGCAAACCTTGCTCCGTAGTCTGGTTCAATCTCTTCCAGCCCCGCCCCGCCCCTACCCATAACTCCCGGCCTCCCTTAGGCTCCAGCCCGCGTCCCTCTTGCTCCCGGCCCTGCCCCCAGCCCCGCCCCATGGCTCCGGCTCCGCCTCGCCGCCTTCCTCCGAGACCAAGGCCAGGTCCCTACCGCAGCCGCGGCGCCAGCAGGAGGGAGGAAGAAGAGAGGGAGGAGGCAGAGGGGGAAGGGAGAAGGGCGGGCTCCTCACGCCCAGCCCCGCGCTCACCGTCCGTGGCCGCAGATTCGCCACAAACGGCCCGACCACTCCGGATCCCACGTACCGCTACTTCAGTCTCCAGAAACGCAACTCTAAGATGGAGGTGCTAGAGAAGCCCTGTGGGGTGTCCAGAGTCCCTCCCATGTCCCAGAGAATGGCTTCTCGAGCCTCAGCGGGCGGGCGGGGTTCTGTGGCGAAAGTGCAGCTCGGCAGCGCCGCGGCACCACGTTTACCCTGCGCAGACGCCGTCGCCGCCGCTGCTGCCGCCGCTGCTGTCCCTTGCCTTTGCCGCCACCGTCTCCGCTGCCGCCGTCCCCGCGTTGCCTCCGGGAGCCTCCATTGTTCCGGTGGCTTCAGGTCCCGAGGCCCGGCAACTTAGGGGCTCTCGAAACGGAAGGCGGCCAACGGAGTTGAGACACCGGGGCGCCGGCGGGACCGGGAGCGGCAGGGGTCAGCGCGGGAATCCTGGGGAGCCGGAGCTAGAGCGTGAGGCGGCAGGGGGCCGGGGTGGCGAGGTCTGCAGTCTCTGGAGTTGGGGCTCCCCCTCCCCGGCCCATCTTTCCCCCGCCGGCCTCCCCAAGTGGAGTCGGAGCCCCGGCGGGCGGCCCCGGCGATGAGCCCGGACTCGAGGTGGCCGGTGAGTGCGGGCCTGGGACCAGGGCGGGAGTGGCCAGCCGGGAAGGAGTTGGCTATTTTCGTGGGCGCACACTGAGCTGCCCTGCCCCGCTGCCCCTCGGGCCACTCCAGCCAGGAGAACTGACAGTGCATTCGCTCCCAGCCGTCATCCCGGGCAACAGTGTATCCCTTCGGGGTTGCCATGGCCAATTGCAGGAGGGGAACCTTGTTTAACTTGTTACACTTCGACAAAAGGGAAACGTCGCCGCATCCGGGAGGGCTGCGGGCACGGCCTGGGCCGGGCCTGATCCCTCGGGCCCCCGCCTCCTACTTCCTCCAGCCCCCTGAGCTCCACCGCCGCCATACCCCTGGGCCCCGGGCCCTCCCCACGGGCTTTCAGGTCTAAGTTCTCGGCTCCCTCCCCTGTGCCTCTGTCGCTAGTCCCAGAGGAACAGCTGCCGGGGGGGGGCAGGGGGGCGGGGGGCTGGGTTACTTCGGGAGCCAGGGCTGGAGAGCCAGCAGAGCTGCTGCGTTCACCAGGGACCCATCATTGAAAGAGCTTGTTTGTGCCTCCGACTGGTCTGTTTTTAAAGACACAGCCCCAGGTAGGAAGTAGAAGCCAGCTGGAGTTGAAGGAGTAGTTTTACTGATGTGGAAGTCTGGAGCTTTGACAGAGAGGCTGAAGCAGCCCACTTGCTTCATTAAGTGGCAGAAGGAGAAAGGCCTAGAGGGGTCACTGTTTGTCAGGGAGCTCTGGGTGGCACTGCCTGGAGTGGTAACAAGCCCCTAGCTGAATTGTTAAAACTCCTCTAAGCCTGGAGAAACTGGGGCAATCTCTGACCAAGCTGGGCTTCCTGGGGGCTGGTGCCATCTGCTGTCTCCACTCACCCGGGAACACTGGAGAGGAGAAAGGGAGGGCCCTGAGGACCAGCACGGAGCTGAGTGTGTCTGAATTGTCTTGTTCCTGTTTGTACCCTTAAGGCCTGGTACTAGGGCCAGAGCCAGGGCACAGGGCTTACCCTAAAGACCTCAGAATGAACTAATTCTTTCTGTAATCTAGTGATTTCTGCTAGAGTCCAGAACTAAATCATTGGCTGCCCATTAAAAGCTTCTTCAGTGGGCTAACATTAGCCTTCATCCATCTCCCTCAGCTCCAAATCTGGTGATCCCCTCATTCAGCTATTCATTCAACAGGTTATTTATTCATTTGCCAAAAACTGAGTGTCCACAACATTCCAGATACTGGGGATATAGAGGTATTAGGCTTTCGTGTCTGCACTGAACAGCTCCCAGTCTAGTGGGTGAGAATGAAATGCTACGGAAACACAGTTCCCCAAAGAAGAGACAAATCGCATCAGAAGTGACATTTGAGCTGGGTTTTGAAGAATGAGTAGGAAATCATCAATCAGGATAGAAGGCATTCCAAATAGAGATTATCTTGCAGGAATCAGAGATTATAACATTCAGGGAATGGCAAATTGCCCTGAATAGACAGAAGCATAGTTGGTGAAAAGGAGTCTGGAAAGGAGGACTAGGGTTAGATAATGAAAGGAGAACCTTGAATGTCATCACAGGGAATTTAGATACAATCCTGAAGTAAGTTGAGAGCATCGGGAGGCTTCTAATCAAGACATTAAAATGACCGTTGCTACTTGATAGAAAGATTACTCTGGCCACATTATGTGAGATTAGGCTGGAAGAGTTAAGATATAGGTCAGAATGACCAGGCAAGAGGTGACGAGGCCCAGAGTGTGGCCATGGTGTTTGGAAATGCTGTAGAGGTGGAGTGGCCAGGATCCTTGGGAGGGCTGAAAGGAATGGAGTGAGTGAGTGGCCAGGAACTCTTCCTAGACCTGTGCTAACTGATCTATACATTCTAGATGTGACAGCATGGGGGTGGACTTTGATGTGAAGACTTTCTGCCACAATTTGCGGGCAACTAAGCCACCATATGAATGTCCAGTGGAGACTTGCCGCAAGGTCTACAAGAGTTACAGTGGCATCGAGTACCACCTGTACCATTATGACCACGACAACCCACCACCACCACAACAGACTCCACTCCGCAAGCACAAGAAGAAGGGGCGCCAGTCACGCCCAGCCAACAAGCAGTCACCAAGCCCCTCAGAGGTATCCCAGTCACCAGGCCGTGAGGTGATGAGCTATGCACAGGCTCAACGCATGGTGGAGGTGGACCTGCATGGCCGCGTCCACCGCATCAGCATCTTTGACAACCTGGATGTGGTGTCAGAAGATGAGGAGGCCCCTGAGGAGGCCCCTGAGAATGGCAGCAACAAAGAAAACACTGAGACGCCAGCCGCAACTCCCAAGTTAGGCAAGCATAAGAACAAGGAGAAGCGCAAGGACTCCAACCATCACCACCACCATAATGCTTCTGCTAGCACCACACCCAAGCTGCCAGAGGTGGTATACCGGGAGTTGGAGCAGGACACCCCTGATGCCCCACCCCGGCCAACTTCCTATTACCGGTAAGGCCACCTTCACTTCCCAACTCTGGAACACTGATCAAGCAGGGCTCAGGAGCTGGAGAGAGGTGACAGGCAGCAGATAGGAGAGTGACAAGAATAAAGGATAGCAGGAGCACACTGGTCCTGCCAGGGCAGTGAAAGGAATGGTGCCCCAGCTAATGATGGTGGTACTTACTGTACACCACCAGATGCCAGGCCCTGTGCTGGTTGCTTTATAGCTAGCTACTCCCTCATTTTATTCTGAC